TACATATTATATATATAAAGGGTGGAATAATTTAAATTGTAAGTGAATTCATTAAATTATTATAACGTTTGTTAAAATTCTAAATAGTATAAATAGTATATCAATAATGTTTCAGCCATTATTTATTTGAAATTGGACTTTTCTATTCTTACATGGCTTAAGAATTGGTTTTCTTTTTTCATATTTTAGACTCAACCGAAGAATTAAAGACTCCAAACCAAGAATTAAAGAATCCAAGCCAAAAGTTAAAATATTCAACTATCTTTAGTGTGATCATTTCTCTTATACTTTGTAAGTTACATATATATATATATATATATATATCAGAATTAAACTTTCTTTATTACAGATCCATTAACTCAAATTGCTTTTATAACGGTTGTCGACCCTAAACATGCTATTGACTCTAATGATATTGCTATAGAATTTGGACACACTATACTTGGTGAGCCCGGAAGGATAATTATTGCAATATGTATTTTAATTTCTTCTTCTGGATGTGTGGGTTCATTGATTTTTATGTAAGACTATTAAATGTTACTAAATATACAGTTGTAAAATATTTAATGTATTTATGAAACGGTTAAAAATTTTTAAATAGGGGCTCTCGAGTTATAACTTATTCGGCCAAAACTGGATTTATACCAATAATATCAAATAGCTTGTACAATTGGCATAAAAAATTTGATACACCGGTTAATGCATTGATTTTGCAATTTGGTTATTGCGCACTTTTACTTCTTTTATTCCCGGTAGGCAAAAGCTTTTTTCCATTTTTTTCCGATATGTCGCAGTACTTAGAGATGGTTTTCTTTGGTGTCAGCGCATCTTGTTTATTGGTGAGTTAAATTAATTATTATTCTGTGCTTAATTTAATCGATTAATCAAGTTATCTAAAACTTTTACCAATTTCAAATTAGGTTGTGCGGCACTATCTTAAAGATACTCATTACACTGATTTTCAAGTACATCCAACTATTGTTGTATTTTATATTTTATGCACTGCATTCATTGCTGTGGCATCATTTATTCCAACTTCGCCAATACACGACGAGGTACTTAATTATGGATCATATGTACCATTTGTTGTTTCATGGATCGCTGTATTGGTAGGAACGGGTATTTGGTATCTCCACGATTATAGACGTTTCTTTTAATGTATTTAGAACGAACCAAATGAACTTGATATTTATTATCCCGTAATTTATAATGCAAGCAAATTTGCCTGTATCTTTATAAATATTTTTAATTCTTAATGAACATTTAATGCTTTAGCTATATACTTTCCATACAAAATTTTTTTTTTTTAATTTACTAAGAAACTTTTAAATTTATAAAAAAACCTAAAGTTTTATTCAAATTTATATTAGAACTTTCATAATTTTTAAAATTTTATATTCAGTATTTCTGAGTCTAAAAAAATTCTTGTTCAAATATTAAACAACTATAATCACAATTTATTATTTAAAATTTGTGAATTACATATTTGATTTATCAATAACATTTTTTTTATCCTTAAATCGATTTTCCTGTAAATTTTTGATCAAAATGTTTTTGTTAATACAACTTACATAAGCCAAATTGCCTCCCCGACATTTTTATTAATGCCCCAAGGTAGGTTTAAACATTCGTTTCTTGTATTTTTGGTGTTTTTCATTTTTTTTCTTCGTCGTGTCGATCAAAACAACCAATTTTATTGGCTCTGTGTCACGTGGCTGCACACGGCTTTAGACAACCCCTATTATTGGCACAAATAAGTAACGCCAGCCCCCAAAAAGGAGGTCGGCTAAAGCGGTGCGAGTTTTGAAATTTATCTAATTTAACGTTTATTTAATGTTAGGGTTAGGGTTAGACCATTTTGGTATTATATTTAAGAGGGGTTATAGGTAAAATTGCCTTCCCGGCATTTTTTATTAATGCACCAAAGTAGGTTTTGACTACCGTTTCTTGTATTTTCTCATTTTTCTCTTTTTTTTAGCTTGTTTTGTTTCGTCCGGGATGGTCAAAATTTCACAATTTGATTGGTCGATCATCTGTCGATCATCAAAAACTCGCTCCGCTTTAGCCACCCTCCCAAAAAGGAAATTTAATTTTGAATAAACTAGGGTTATGACTATAGATGCTGGTGAATGGTGGTGAAACTGGTGAAACTGGTGAAATTTAATATAATAGCCAATCAGATTTTAGATAGTCACCAGTTTCACCAACGTTATTTAGTTTCACCAGCATCTATAGTTATGACGTTACCGTTAGAAGCTATAGCCATAGACTGTTATTTCGATTTAAACACCAGTTTTTGGGTATTACGATCAAAATTCGAACTCACTGATAGGTTGTTTCCTTTTTAAGAGTTTGTATTACCGGCACAAATAAGTAAAGCACCCTAAAATTCGCTCCGCTTTAGCCATTCCCCTTATTTGGGAACCTACATCTATTAACCAATCAAAATCGTAAATTTTTACAAAGCAGAACAAAGCCGAAAAGAAACGAGGATCTAACCTGTCTTGGAGCACTAATAAAACATGTCGGGGAAGCAATTTTTACCTATAATACCCAATCCTTAACCCGGTGATGGGTTCGAACAGTGTCCCAAGCTTTTTAGTCTTGTCCCGTTCCATTAATGCCCCTAGAATTTTTTTGTTTAGCTTCTAAAAACAACAATGTATAATTAATTATAAAACTGGATGTATTAATAACATTTTGAGTTATTGATAAATTTAAATTGTCCCAATTTGTCCCAATTTGTCCCAACTGTCCCGAAATTAAATCCTAAAGTTCGAAATCAGGACGAAAATTCGATATTTCGATAGTCTGATTGGCAAGTTTTGAGATTGGTTTGTTTTACACGTGATTATTTACCAATTAATTCTTTTACATGAATGAATTACATAAATTCAGAAGATAGATAGGCGCGTATAGTGTGGAGCGAAAGTGGTGTTAACAACACGTGTTCTTATAAAGTATTTCAACATATAAACAAGTTACCTGCAATTGATTGCATCAGTCAATCAGACGAATTTCTGCCTATGAGGTTCTCCATTGTAAATCTTTACGGCTCGACCAATAGACATTAAAATGTCTTCGTCCTGATAACATTTTTCACGATAATGATACCACATCCATAAATATCAGCAGCTGGCATAAAATTTTGACCTACAAAGCCTTTAGAACGATGTAAGGTATGACCCGTAAACGAAAAAATCATTCGTGATCCAATACTTATAATCAGTGATGTCGGTCCAATGAATCCAACGAATTTGGACATTGAAAATTTACAATTTCTAATTATTGGATTAGATTTTTAAGTGTTTATATTAAAATTTTAACTATAATACCCTGGCTCAACCCTCTCACATTGGGGTGTCACACGGACTAATTAATCAAAACTATATCCGCTAACTATGTAACTTATTATATTGCAGATTTTTACGTTACACAAATACAAATCAATTTACACTTTTTAATAATACAGTAAAAGACTTACAATTTGGATTTTATCGTTATTAATTCATATGAAAAGATATTTTAGATATTTTAAAATGTATCAACTTATTATATAGGTATGCAATCGCCTTGAAATTTTCACCAGTTATTTATATAAAGTCAAAGAATAAAGCCATGTTTTTATTTTTTCTATTAATATGTGGGTTTTGAACATTCACTTTATAGAATACATTAATTAAGACGAAAAAATTGTATTAAACATATGAATCGAAAATTAATTAAAACTTTAGCGAAAATCAAACATAGCTACTTTGAAACAGTTCTGACGAACAGTTTTCAATTAAAAAAAATTGGAAAAATAAGTGTAATATTTATGTGATACCTTTATTTTAATTTTACTGATAAAAATTTGATTATAATGAAATAATCAATATAGCTAACATAGTTTTGATTAATTAGTTCGTGTGACACCCCACTCTTACATGATTTTTGTCAGGAGGTAATTTGTAACTAGTTAGTACATCATTAGCCCAGTAAATTATTATTACTAACAACCCGGGTAGTTATTACAGCATTTTAAAGTTTACATTGAAGTTTTTTACAATTTAAAAAAAACTATTTTAATTACTAAGAAAAATCTTGACTTTACAATTAGTAAAGTTAAAATTTAGACCATTATAGTAAAATCCTTGAGTATTATCATGTTGAATTGTTTGTGAAACAAATAAAGGAGTAAGGGGAGATCGAGATTGGGTAAGCGAATTGGCTTGGTTTTCGGTTTATCAATATTTCATTGTCGGATTCATCATCAATTTCGTTATTTTCACAGTTAATTTTATCGGCATCATCGCATTTGCTTCAGGATTCTTATCAGATAAAAAGTTAATATTGTATTGTAAAATATAAACGTAAAATAAATATATACAAATGTATATATCTTTTTGGTATTATAAGTTTTGCAATATTGATGTGTTGCTTTTTATTCTGTGAATGATACATATTATATCCCTCTACTGTACGATGCTTCGTAATATTCATAACAGCTTGAACATCCGCACTGACGTCATTTAGTTTTTGAGCCGTATGTTTGCATAGTACTTTTTTGGATATTTTGGGCGTGACTTTTTTCTTGTATAATTGAAGCCTTTCTTGCGATGGTTTTTCAAAATTTTTACGAGCTTTGGATGAATTGCCATACGTCGAATAAAAATCGGTCGCTTTTATAAAAGATCGTTTTATTTTTTTTGTTTTTTATTTTTTTTTTTCAGTATCGGTATGTTTAAAGGAAAGATATTTGAATTATTAACTAATTTATACCATTATATAAAAGTTTAATTACATACAAGCTAATGATTAATTAATTTGACATCATTATATAAAAGTTTAATTACGTACGAGCTAACGACGTATTTTATCATGTGAGAGGTCAGGGTATTAATTAATAATATCTTGGGTCGTTGGGTATTAGTGGATTGGTCCCAGGCAGTGATAACGGAAATACATGACTGATACTGATTGGCCGCTTACGCGGCCGATCAGTATCAGTATGTATTTCCGTTATCACTGCCTGGGACCAATCCACTAATACCCAACGACCCAAGATATTATTATTACGAATCCTCCCAAAAAATATATCCAATAACATATAGTCATTTATTCGATTAAAGTATGGTTTTTATGCTCAATTTCGTCCAATATACAACACCCTGACAAATACTATTGGTCAGATTTGATTCACGGGTTTAATGCAGTTTCGAACCATTTCTAATACTTCGGATTGAGTTCGAGTTTTAGTCAATTACAGATTTTATCGGAAATTTCGGAAATTTAATGTTGGGAGAAACTCATCGTCCATATTTCGGATTCGGATTAGGTGAAATACTTGTACTTAGGTTACCCCGAAACATTAGCCCTAACACTAACCATAGATCAACTCTAACCCTAGATTTAGTTGCTTCGCTTTAAATGCACTTCTAAATAAGGAATCGAAAAACGATGCAGTAATATCAATCATTCAAATTTCGCATGTTATAATGCCGTAATTCAGGACAACAACATATGGATGATATAAGATCAGAATAAGATCAGAACAATTTATCAATCATGAATAATAAACCGTTACAATTGTTAACTTCGGCACTTTGGTATTGAGTTTTAATGTATACAGTACCATAATAATAGTAAATCACAATAATAAATACATAATAAGTAATATATGCGAAGAGTAATAGTAACAGTATTATGACTAAATATAAAAGCTATAAAACATAACGATCTTTATCACGTGATACTCGATAAGCACAGGTTATTCGCCGGATATGCCATTATTTTAATTACATGTAAGTGGAATATCACAAGAGGGACCGAATAAGCTTATCCACCGTGAATTTGTGCCCGCTAACAGACTCAACAGAATCAAAAGTACAACCATTATAAAGCCACAAATGCTAAACCAATTGTGTGATGATGGATATAAGTTCTCTTCACCTTTCACGTGGGATATATGTGCAACGATATTGTTAAATGACCATATAGAACGTATTATTGTAAGGAACTTACTCCGGCAGAAAAATCCAATTGGGGAGTGTAATATGCTATGATTACTGCTAACCAAGGTGTTGTTATTGAAACTAAAGCAGGCATTGCAATATATATTTGTTTGTACAGAAGGTCCTGTTCGCCGAAAGCTGTGACAGGTATTTTTTCTATTTGATTGGTTTGCAAACTATCATTAAATTCTTCCTCTCCTTCTTTTGCATCTCGAAAGGATCTTTTTGACAATTTATATACTACTTTTCCATTTCTTATTTTTACGTAAATTATGGGTAGTGTCCAAATGAATAATAATAGTATAAATGGCAAATCTTCTAATGAATTATCTTTCATACATGGTCCTGCTGCTTTAGATATCCCTACAAATATACAAACCAATATGTAATATGCAGACGCCAATCTATCTAATAGAGATGCTTCCGCTACCCAATTATTTAAAATTTCACTCTGTTCGTAGGTAGGATCCAATCTCTTTGCATGGTGTCCAACAGGTCTGATATTTTCAACAATAGAATACTTTGATGCAAGCTAATATGCACACATTTCTATATTGCTCCTACGTTACAAAAGTAAAATAATCCTATAAACGGACAACCAAGGCATCGTAATACTCAAATAAACTTGTCCAGTAAGTTGGATGTGGAGTTGCTCCCATTATTGCTATAGCTGATAATGTCCCCAGCACATATTGAGGTATAGGGTTTTGTAAAAAAATGTATTGCTGTCAATAATGCTGATTCTGGCGCCGTTTTATACCAGTTTTAGTAGTAGAAGTAAATATCAATCATCGGAATTGATACTCTTCACATGCTTAGTAGTGTTTACTTCTGGAATGAAAAAGTATATATATACTATAGATAATTAAAATTATAGATAATTAAAATAATACATTTAGCAACTTAAAGGTCTTAAAATTTTAATAATTACCGTGCCCTTCATTTGAACTGCTTATAAAACAAATTGTTATGAAGCATTAAATGAATTCATCATCTGTAAAATATAACAAACAATAAAGTTAATTAAATAAAAATTTAAGTAGACAATATTACATGAGACATTTTTGCTAATATTAATTTAACTGTAATATATCTACATTTGTATATATTTAATATTTGCTTATTGTATTTATGGACCATTTTCTTATATTCTTTTAGTTATGTCATATGTATAAATGAAGGTCTACATAAAGATTTCGTACAATCTCGTGTCAAAATATATATAAAAAACAAAAAAATATAGTACAAGATATACAGTATCACTATAGGAATACAAGAGTGATATGGAAATAAAAATTTTATATTAAAGAAGAGAATAATATAAATGTGGTTAAGTAAAAATCTAATCAAATATACAGTAAAAGAAATTAAAATTTATTATGAATACTTCGGTATGAACCTAAGGCCTATGCAAATCTCAATACATTCAATCATACGATATATTGAGGGTAGAATTAGGGGTTGATGATTTATTACTGTATTCAGCCCTCTTATCAGCGACACATAATATATGTAATTAAGACTTTGGGCCATCACCAATACAAAAACATTTCATACCGTGTTAGGGTTAGGATTTGAATGGATTTTTGTTTTGTTTTTATGTTAAACCTGGTCTTGAATTTTGGTTGATCAGATAACTACGCTAGATTATCACAAAATACATTTTATCAATCTGTATAGAATTTTCTACTACATTGGGTTTGTAACTTTTAACCCTTTAAAATTTTGACATGATCATCTTTACTATATATGGTCGTGTAACGTATGTGGTGCGATCAATTTTTTCTAATTTCGCATGTTGCGTCGCTTTCGTGCAGGGATAGACATGAAAAATTTCCTTCTAAACCCTCATTTAAAAACAACTTAAATTCTAGTAAAGAAAGTATCCTTTTGGCACTTATATGCCCACTCCCATCTATAGTTATGCTTCTACTTTTCGAGTTTTTTTAAATTTTACATTTTTTTCTTTCGAATTTTTTTTTTGCCGGTATGATGAATTGATAATCACTGATCGTCAAAGAATATGGCGAAAGGCAGAAGAGCTACAACGAAAGAATCATGAACTCAGCCTCCTCAGTCCCCTGACCAACACAAAATTTACGTGATTTGTCATTCTACCTGAATAGCATTTACCAATAGGAATTTATATCCGATCAGAATATATTGAATGTGTAACATCCAGTAACTGTTTTATCGGTTCACATGACAAATAAAAGCTTTAAATTTAATATGCCTGCTTTGGCCTCGGAGGGGCCCAAATTGTTGCATTAAATTCAAGATGGAACATTTAATGACAGAAAGGAAATGCTTTGCCCTGGAGGGACCAAATTGGTGCATTAAATTCAAGATGGAACATCTAATGATGGAAAGGAAATGCTTTAAATCTAATACAATATCTTTACCCGGAGGGGCCCAAATTGGTGCATTAAATTCAAGATGGACATCTATCTAATGATGAAAAAGCTTAAGGAAAATTTTTTTGCCGAAATAAAGATAAGAATAAACAAACAAATCTATTATCTTTAGCTTATAGACGGCGAAGCCGCCCGCATGATCATGTTCTAGTTGTTATCTTCCCCAGGTGCACCAACAAAATTTTTGCGATCACGTGATGATCGATAAAATTGTTTAAGTTCTTTTATGTTAGGGTTAGCGTTTAAACT